TAGTATAATAGTCTCCATCTCAGAATGAGTGAAAAAGCACAAATGGCACCTTTCAACAGGAGGCCAAACATTAACTTTTGGAGTTATGTGAAAATCGCAGGCAAGGCTATCAAAAATTATTCCATGCATGAGGTTATCCAAACATACTTGGTTAACTGTTAACACCTACAAGAACTACACTGAAAATAGTACACTAGGAAATTGTTAAGGGAACAATGTCTAGCTAAACTGCATGGGAAGTTCATAGAAGGCAAAAGCAGATGTCAGATTTCCCCCTAACAAAAAACTTTGTCCTTGAATCCTACAGAAGTACAAGCCCTTTGTCCCACCCATGAAGTATAGGAGATAACACTTTTCCCCCAAGATAACCACAGATAATTTGAGTTCATTTCATGAACAAGCTACATAAAGGGCTATGCACTCCTGGGTTTTGGCTTGGATCAGTAATAACTGCCTCAAACACGATGTCTGTTTTTACCCACAGACTGTCCCAGCCAAAGAGATGAACCAGTCAAACTATTGGAAGAGAAAGGGATACCTGGCCAGAAGGGTTCTGACTCCTTTCTTATAAAAGTGCATCATTTCCAGGACAGTGGACAGGCAACAAACAATCATCAAATCAAAAACTCCATTAAGAGGTTTATGATACTTTATCAACTATTTATTAAATGCTGTTATTTTTAGGACTTGCAGTTCAATGCATTGTTTGATGGAAGGAAGTTACTAGCATTAGTTAACACTTTGAAATGTTGATGTATTTCAGAATAATTTGACACCTAACATAAATGATAAACCATCAATACTGTAATTCTGTATTAAAGGTAAAGGATACAATTGTTTTATCTGTGTGAATTTGATAAAGTTCAGTGAACTTCCTGCTGCCCTTGAATTTGGTAAGCTCATACTTACATTTCCTTGAATTCCTGAACTGCACGAACACATTTGTTGCATGAATACACTGTCAAAGTGCACAAGACCAAGATTCCTTTAGGATAGTTAAAGGAAATTTATCACTAACATTTTAGCTAATCACTGTCCAATTTCTTCCTATAATACAGTACAAACCAGGCACAGAATATTTTGCAGGGTTTTTGGGGGGGTGGAAGGGATGGGGTAAGCATTTATTTAAAAGTATGTTAGAAAACTAAATTAGGATTCAGTTTTCCTGGCTCCAATCTGGAATAGCATTTTGTTAATGTATAACTTCAATAAAACACTCACAAACATTCCATCAGATATTCCAAAATGTAGTCTATTTTTGGTAATATCAATATACTTTAGAGGTGCACTGATATATCGGTGGCCTATCAGATCTGCACTGATAAAAGAAAATTTAACATTACCATCAATTGGCTTTTTTTGGCCTGTGTAGCTGATGTCACCAATAAATGCCACTTGCATGTGCACAGCTACAGCATGCACGCGGCCAGGAATGCAGCCCAGCAGCTTGGAGAAAAGCATCCAGGCCGTAAGTCAGGGAGGTGGGGGAGAAGCAGGGGGGAGGGGAGGGCCATGGGGGTACAGATCGAGGCCCCCACGGTGAGGGAGATGTCAGAACCAAATAGTTGTATGCCTATGGCACAGTGGAACATTCCTTTGGTTTGATCCATAGTGGAACATTCTGCTGTCAATCATTCTGCATGCCTGTGCCATGGTGGAAAATTTTGATACATATGGCACAGGGAGAAACTAGGTCACAGCAAAAAAGTAGGTCACAGTAGGAAAATTCCGCTACGTAACTATATGCCACAGTAATGGAAAGTTACAGCTCAGAAAAAGTTTCCGCCAAACTTTATGCAAACACGCACACCACCACTGGCCAGTTCCAAATTATTCATATTGGTGACTAGCGATTGGCTTGTTAGTCATATAAAAGTTAGATCAGTTTCCGCCCACGTTGGAGAACTCCACATATCTCTCCAGCTTAGCACGTTGGAGCACTCCGCACACGCCTCGGAGAAGGAGAACTCAGACAGCGAACTCAGAGAGCTCGAACTCCGTACATATCTCTGAGAATACCTGGTGGACTGATCACCTACCAGGTACACCCCGTCAACGACCTACCCGACGTACCCCTCTTCGTCTGGCTAGCCTGTTCAGTCGTTCACGGATGTCTCATCTTGTTCTAGGAAAGCTTTCATCTTGTTCGGTTTGCAACTGTAACCTAGGTCAGTTTCTTCTTGCACTGTGTACACCGACGGCATAAGTAAATAATTTCTTTGTTCAACCAATACGCTTCAGTGCCTAATTCCGCTCCATCAGTCAAAAAGTACCCACCTGCCGCTTCGGGCTACTGGCCACAGCCCCGGCCTACCACTCGACCGCCACAGGAGGGAGACAGTGGGGCAGGTGTAGGTGCTGCCCAGCCAGGGGGGGTTAATGAAACCCCAGAAGCGGGATGGAGCTGTGGACAGCTCGTCTGGGGGGGGACACAGGGGGGTGGCTCCCCATCGCTGTGTGCACCTCCAGGGGAGGCATGGGGGCTCCAGACTTGTGTGCGGGGTGCAGCCCTGGCCCAGGCCCCCTGCTGGGAAGACACCTGCACAGCCCCTGGCCCAAGCCCACAGTGGGCAGCCCATCTTCACCTCATGCATAAATCGGGGGGGGGGGGCACATGCCCCTATGCCTCCCCTGGGGGTGTGCACAGCAGTGGGAAGCTTCCCTTCCTCCCCAGCCCCCCAAACTAGCTGCCCATGGCTCCATCCCATTCCCAGGGTCACATTCACTGCCCTGGCTGGGTAGCGCTTGCCCCTGCTCCACTCCTTCCCTCCCTCACCATGTGGTCCTCGATCTGCTCCCCAGGCACCTTCCCCCCCACAGACTTACTAGCTGGATGCTGCTCTCCAAGCTGCCAGGCTGCATTCCGGTAAATTAGAGGTTCCCAACCCTTGGGCCGCAGCTGCAAAAGGTTGGCTGCTGGTCTGCAGGAGGGTTGGCTGCCAGACCAGAAGTGACCGGCATACTGTAGAGTGGCAGCCAACCCTTTTTTATACTTAGTCTACTGTCCGGTTATTTGTACACTGCAGTTTGCCAGTCCACAGTTTGCCAGTCTAAAAAGGTTGGGAAGCACTGCTGTAAATCAGCTCTCAGATCAGTCTCAGCTGATATGGCTGGTTAATAATCGGCCATTGATATCAGCCAAGAAAATTCTTTATCGGTGCACTCCTAGTATACTTTGCAGAAGACTAAAACATTACTTGGCAATATTGTCCATTTAGCTTTAATAACCTGCGCCCTCAAATCGAGTGGCAATGCCATCATTATACGTTGGTGTGTACATGGATAGAGGAAAGGGAACAGAAATGTATCTCTATGGACAAGGTGTTTATACAGCACTGGTCTGCATAATATCCACATAGAACCTGTCCGGTAAACTTGTTACTGAAGACCAACGCTATAAAAAGGCTAAAAAAAAAAAGCAGCTTGAAAGAACCCCCCTCCCCCCACAAAAAAACCCAAACTAACAAGCTTAAGAACAAATGTGACTATTCTTCAGACTGTTTATAGGCAAAATTACTATTTCATACTTCGGGACCTTTAATCTCCTTGCCAACACAGGAAAATTTACTTAATTTTGGGACAGGATTACAGCACACATTACAGACCCACTGGTAATCACTGAAGCAATACCCAGTTAGCATTTAAGGCAAAGGACAAAGACCCAAGTAGTGGAATAATTTACTAAAGCAGAATCTTCTTCTCTTAATATTATACTAGATAGTTATGTGGATTTTCCTAATAAAGCATGTAAGCCTACTGCTAAAAGAAAAACGTTTGCATATCAAAAAGTACACCTGTTAAAATAATAAGCCTTCCAAAAAATCAAGTGAAAAATTAACCAGATGTTTTCATAATTAAGCATGAGACAAGTTCTTTGAAACCCTGATTTTCCACCGTTACCCACACTCAAATGTATAGTTTTAGCATAGCAAAATATGTATAGAAAAATGTTTTTTCTTTCTTTTCTGTCATTAACTCATGTCTCCATAGGAACCAGGAGTCGCCTCCATAACTATCTTGGGAGCCTCAGAAGCCAGCTAGTATTGTCACACTTCTGACGCCTCAAAAGAAACTTCTTTCCAAATTGCTGTAGAGTAACAATAGGGGCTTCATTACTCAGAAATTAAACAAAAAAAACAAACCATGAAGAGTAAATACTCTCAATTCAGCCTCCAACAGAAAAAGGTTGTGTGTACAATAATAAATAGGTAAATGACAAGAAATGATCGCAACAGAAACCACTAAGAGAAGTATCTCCCCCTCATATATCATCTGCCAGTTCAATATCAAAGGAAAAAATAAGCTGAAAAACAGCTAATAATGGCAGGAAGGAAAAAAAACATGTTGAACAAAGATAGCATACTTAGAATTACCCCCTAATTATGGGGGGGAAAGGGGGAGGCAATCTTGCTTTTATACACAGAGCTCTGCTTGGAGAATCGTATTCCCAAAGGAGGCATCAGTCAAGTGAAGACACAAACTTGCTTACAATAAAGATGTAAAATTAAGTCTACATCCTGGCTCTGCAGATTGCTTTCTACTGATACTGAGGTTTCATCAAACCAGGATTATCCTATGGTCCTAGACCCCAGCTCTCTGCCCCTTACAAGTGTACTGATACTTTTTTCTTTTTTTTTTTTTTTTTTTTATATGGCCAACAGCAGCCTTGTGAATGTTCCCACTTCAACCCACGTAAAGTGAGCTAAGGACCTTATTTTTCTAAAGGATATTTGCTATCTTGAATTATATTTTAGAGCAATAAAAATACCTGTTGAGAAGCCCCAACAGCCTGGCCAAGTACCTGAAGTGCATCAAATAGAAATCACAGAATCTCAGAAAGTTAGGGGTAGAAGGAACCTCAGAAAGTCATCTAGTCCAAGCCCTTGCTGAAAGCGGGGCTATCCCCAACTAGATCATCCCATCCAAGGCTTTGCCTACCCAAATCCTAAAATCCTCTGAGGATGGAGATTCCACAACTTCCATGGGTAGCCAGTTCCAATGCTTTACTACCCTCCTAGGGAGAAAGTTTGTCCTCATATCTAACCTACATTTTACTTGCTGCAACGTGAGATCATTGCTCCTTGTTCTGTCATCTGCCATCACTCAAAACAGTCCAGCTCCATCCACTTTATGACCACACTTCAAGTAGTTGAAGGCTCCTTTTCAATCCCAGGATTATCACTGCTCCTACTGAGTGAGCGACTAACTAGTACATACAAGGTGTCCAATGAAGTAATGTTGCTTCTCTTTCCTACCCTGAAACTTCCAGGTTTTTCACAGCTCATCTATGGAGTTTTCCATGATGGAAATCTAGAGAATTAGACAATTTATAACATCAGTTAAACTCAAGAAATTCAGATAACTGATTACCAAACAAAAGAGATTATTTTTATTCAGGTTGTTTAGAACAGTAGGCTATTATTATTATCATCATCATCATCAAAAGCTTTTCTGGGCTTCTTTACTTGAAAAGGAAAAGAAAAAATGGCCTTTTAACTCTAACATTGCAATCAGTTGGGTAGAAGGCAGCATAGACATGCATCTCTGAGACTAACCAAATCAACTGGGGATACTAGTAAAATTAAGGTAGTTCCTAAATATTTGCTGGATGAGGGTCTTAATTTCCACAAAGGGTAAACTCATTAAGGTGATGACACTAGTGGTATCATGGAGGCATGTGAATTATACAAGTATAAAACATGATAAGAAGCACAACCACCAGATTAAGTGCTTATTCTTTGTATGGCAGGACCCCAGTTTGTGGTACCAGTAAGAAGTAAAAGCTGTTTAAGGGTACAGGAAGAAAGAGAAGCTGTTTAAAAGGTATCTAGAAGCCAATACTGTATTTCATAATTATACATCACAAATTGTTACTCTTCTCTTTCATTCCT